AGGTGCCGGAGCATGCGTATACTTCAAACACAATTCGCTGGCGCTCGCCGAGGCAAGGGCGCAGACTCAGGATCTGATGTAGTGGTGGTAGCTGATGATGATGACGATGATGGGAGCAATGAAGATGACGCCGTAAGAACTGGGATTAGCACCCATGAGCAAGGGAGCACTCACAGCACGAATGGCACGGATGAGGACCTTGACGAGGACCAGTATTACAGCCGTGATGAGGGCACTTACCCGGATACCTCAGATATGCCTCCCGGACTTGCCAGCAACCCTGAGCGACGCATGAATCCTGAACTGGTATTGGAAGTCCTTTTTTGTTTTGCATTTGTATATACGTCCTGCGTATTGCCTGCTTCAACTCACAATGCATGCCCTGCCACATAAATATATATATTTTTTTTTTTTGCAGGTGGTCCTTACTGCTGTGGGCACGACATATCCTTCTTCAGAGGTTGGCCCTAGTCTTCCTGCTGCTGACGCTACGCAGACTGCCGACGAGGTACCCATTCCTTGTTCTCCATTTTCTATGTCCCGGCCTAGCCTCTTCTTAGGTTACTTATCATTTAAGCTTGCTTTTCTTTCTTTTCCCAGGTTGAGGGCGCTCCACAAGGCGCGGAAAACGTACCCTTTACTCCTCCGACTGATGTTGCTGCCATTGTTACTCCGCATCTTCCAACAGCAACAATTCCTACTTTGGCCCTTCTCGGCATAGCTGCTAGCACCACTCCAGACCTTCCAGCAACATCAATTCCTGCTTCAATCCTCCTTGACATAGCTGCCGGCACTACTCCAGACCTTCCAGCAGCCTCGACTCCTACTCCAGCCCTCTTTGACATAGCTGCCGGCACTACTCCAGACCTTCCAGCAGCCTCCACTCCTGGTGACGTCCTTGATGTGGGTCATCTAATCGGTGGTACCCCCAAAAAATTTTCTGCTTTAGAGTGCTTATCGGAAGAAAGCATGTCCTGGCGAGATTGGGAGACTTCCTTCATGGCGTTCAAAGCTTTCTTCGATGGCGGCGTCAAGATTCTTCGGTCCATCGACGAGCTTCTTCCTCTCTGTTACAGGTTTGATGGGTATGCAACCTTCCTAGGTGCCTTCGTGTACCCAGAAACAGTCGAAGCTTTAAGAAGATTCATGGGTAAGCACGGATGCTTTGCAGAGGTTACGGGTATCGCTTCATCCTTCTCCAGGAGTGCCGCCTTCCGGGCTTTGGGTTTGGTACTTCACGGGGTGGACACCATGGAGCTTTTGGACATCACAAATCACCGGCTTCTTTGCTGGCGAGACGCCATCTGCGAGGCTATGACCCTAGGGTTCCATGTGGATTTTCTCCTCAACTTGGTGAGGAATCTGGCGCGAGCCGTATTTGGGGCGCGAGCTCTTCATGGCATGGGACTGATGCTAGGTTCAGATGAAGTGAAGACTGCGGCTGATGCCTTGAACCTTAGGCAGCAAGAATTGGAGACTCAACGTCAGGAATTACATGATCTTCTTCTTGCGAGAGGCGTCTCTGTCGATGGTGCAGAGTGTGTGACAGAAGCAGCAACCAGGTTGTCTCATAGGGCATCCTCCGTCCTTTTTGGACATTCTCTATAGTTTCATGGTATGTTACACTTCCGATTCCTTATCCCCTCGTCTTTCTTCTTATTGCCATCTCATCCCCTTCACTGCTAGGCTGCTTCTTCCAGCATCATCCAGTTTTGACACATGCTCTTACTGCTCCTTTTCCTCTTGCTTGCAGGTTATTTTCCTTGGGGTCCACCGACCTGGTGCACAATTCTCGTCCCTTTTGTGACAATAGGACGCATGAACCTTCAGCGTGTATAACCTTATTATCTTTTTTTTTTTGTGTTATGGCTGTGTACATTTTGGATAATCTAACGACTATGTCGTTATAATTTTGCAATGTAATTCTGAACCGCTGGGGCTTGCAACAATTTCTGAATACTCGAAACATATTGTAGTCCTCGTATCTCATATATATGCTGCTTGGTTGAGAAAATCTGTCCTTGTGAAACCCCTCCTTTTTTGAGATTTTCTGACAGGTCGGACATCCTTAAAAACAAACAAGGCATATGATGCCAAAATTTTGGTGGGAGTCGAATTCCTAAATTTCCTTTGCATGGCTTGTCTAATTATTAGGCCTGAAAAGCACCTTCTTGTCATGCCTCGAAAGGGCCAGACTAGTGTGCATGGTTTTTACCAAAATTCCAGATGTTCTGCATTGCTTATTAAGAGGGTACAATGATTCCATTGTTCCAGCACCTCAAGAATTGCATGCTCCTTTTTTTTTGTAATAGCTTGGCATATGTCATTTTGCTTAGGCGTGATGCTTGTTGATGATTTGGGACCCCATCCAAGTGGCTTTGGTTGGCATGTTTTACTGCTAAGTGGCGTGTATATATATATTTTTATTATTATTGTTATTATATACGTATATATATAGTATTTGGTGCAAGGTAAGTTTGGTGATACATAAAGGAAAATAATAGTTCAGAGGCAGATTTTCTTTTTCAAAATACTTCTTCATTTTCATTGCAAAGCTCATGCTACCATAATGGTGCATCATACAAGCGTTTTTCAAAATACCAAGTAAGGACATAGAAGGAGTTCATATCCGAAATGAAAAGAAATGCAATAATGAAGGTGCAGACTATAAAATCGACTTAGCAGTAGTACGGTTTGAGCTACATCCCGTTGATGGGATCCGTTAGCATGCCTTCTTTGACAGAGACCAAGCAATAATAGCCGCTGCTGTAAACTTCTTTGACTGCAAATGGTCCTTCCCATTGCGGGGCAAACTTGGAAGGTCCCGATACTTGTCTCCTCACATGCTCGATGACTTTTAGCACGAGGTCTCCTTGCTTGAAGGCTTGCGGCTTGACTATTCTGTTGTAAGCTTGGGCAATGGTTTTGTGGTAAAGTGCTGTTCTTCTTTCGGCTTCCACTCTTTTCTCATCCAAAGCCTCGATATCTAACAAGCGCCACTCCGAGCATGTCTTTGCATCCCATTCAAGGTCATTAACAGCTGATACTCTAGCAGTGGGGATAGTGATTTCGACGGGAGATATGGCATCGGAACTGTACACAAGCAAATAGGGCGAGAAACCCGTGGCGCTCCTTGGAGAGGTGCGGTAAGCCCATAAAGCATCCGGCAGGTGGACACTCCAGCCTCCTTCATACTCATACACCATCTTGCTTAGGATTCTCAACAAAGTTTTATTTGTGGCTTCCGCTTGGCCATTTCCCTGCTGGTAGTATGGCGTGGAACGACGATGCTTGATGCCATAGCCGCTAAGTGTCGAGCTTACTTGCTTGTTAACAAATGGGGTACCATTGTCAGTGACGATCTTGTATGGGATTCCGAATTTGCAGACAATGTATTCACGGATGAAATTTGCAACGGCAGCCCTCGTGGCCTTTCGAAGAGGAATTGCTTCAACCCACTTCGTGAAATACTCAGTGGCTGTGAGGATCCATATATAACCATCAGAAGGCGGGTGGATAGTTCCGATCAGGTCAAGCCCCCAAGTGTGAAAAGGCCAAGGAGTACGCATGTCCTGCAATAACGTGGGAGGCTTGTGACTTAAATTGGCATGAACTTGACACGTATGACACTTCTTCACAAAATTGTATGCATCATTCTTCATGGTGGGCCAATAAAACCCAACATTCAACAGCTGCCGATGGAGTCTTCTCATCCCCTGGTGTTCACCACATTCTCCAGCATGAACTTCCTGCATCACTTGCTGCGCCTCAGATTCTCCTAAGCATTTCAAAGATTCACCAGTAAACCCTTTGC